GTGGTGTCATCTGCATATCTGAGGTTATTGATATTTCTCCCAGCAATCTTGATTCCAGCTTGTGCTTCATCCAGTTTGGCATTTCACCTGATATACTCTGCATAGATGTTAAATAAGTAGGGTGGCAATATACAGCCTTGACGTACTCCTTTTGCAATTTGGAACCAGTCCATTGTTCCATGTCTGGTTCTAACTGTTGCTTCTTGACCTGCATACAGATTTCTCAGGAGGCATAAGGTGGTTTGGTATTCCCATCTCTTGAAGAATTTTCCACAGTTTGTTGTGATCCACACAGTCAAAGGCTTTGGCATAGTCAATAAAGCAGAAGTAGATGTTTTTCTGGAAGTCGCTTGCTTTTTCGATGATCCAACAGATGTTGGCAATTTGATCTCTGGTTCATCTGCCTTTTCTAAAACCAGCTTGAATATCTGGAATTTCTTGGTTCATGTACTGTTGAAACCTCGCTCAGAGAATTTTGAGCATTACTTTGCTAGCATGTGAGATGAGTGCAGTTGTGCAGTAGTTTGATCATTTTTTGACATTTCCTTTCTTTGGGTTTGGAATGAAAACTGACCTTTTCCAGTCCTGTGTCCACTGCTGAGTTTTCCAAATTTGCTGGCATATTGAGTGCAGCACTTTCACAGCATCTCTTTTTTAGGATTTCAAATAGCTCAGCTGGAATTCCATCACCTCCACTAGCTTTGTTCGTAGTGATGCTTCCTAAAGCCACTTGACTTCACATTCCAGGATGTTTGGCTCTAGGTGAGTGACCACAGCATCCTAATTATCTGGGTCATTAAGATCTTTTTTGTATAGTTCTTCTGTGTATTCTTGCCACCTCTTCTTAATATCTTCTGCTTCTGTTAGGTCCATACTTTTTCTGTCCTTTATTGTGCCCATTTTTGCATGAAATGTTCCCTTGGTGTCTCTAATTTTCTTGAAGAGATCTCTGGTCTTTCCCATTCTATTGCTTTCCTCTGTCTCTTTGCACTGATCACTGAGGAAGGCTTTCTTATCTCTCATTGTTGTTCTTTGGAATTCTGCTTTCAAGTGGGTTTATTTTCCCTTTTCTCCTTTGCCTTTAGCTTGTCTTCTTTTCTCAGCTATTTGGAAGGCCTCCTCACACAACCACTTTGCCTTTTTGCATTTCTTTGACATAGTCGTAAAGAATTATAAGCATTGTACTAGCTGTTGATGTGGATGAGAAACTAAAATTTTCATATTCTAAACTTATTTTTAATGGTTGATGTTAGATTAACAGCATATTTAATATTTTCATACACACAGTAATTTCTTGCTTAAAGAATATGTGGCTTCCCTGGTGGCTTAGTCAATAAAGAATCTGCCTGCAATGCAGGAGACCTGGGTTCAATCCCTGAGTTGGGAAGATCCCCTGAAGGGGGGCATAGCAACCCACTGCAGTAAAGCTTATAATTAATTCAGTGAATATACAAGTATTTATTGGGCACCTGTTGTATGCTAGACATTACTGAGGCTACACAACTCAAAACATACTAACTCTGAATGCATAAAGGTTGCTGTTTAGTGGGGAGATAGATAAGCAGCAAGTGATGCTCTCCAGCATAGTGTCTCTTCTAGTGGAGCTCTGTAGGTGATTCATTTGAAGCTCTGCCAAAGGCTATTGGGAAGGCTTCCTGGAGGAGGTGGCACCTAACTTGACCTTTAAGCATGGGTAGCATTTGTAAAGAGGATGATGGAAAAGAGATGCTTATGACTACTTATGAAGATGCTTATGAAGATCTCCTACTCTCATTTTCATTTTGATTTTTCCAACACTAGAACTTATACCTCAGTGTGTGTCCTGCTTTTTCCAAGGAAATGTTGATGGCTTAACAACTGCAGTGAAGGAGAGGAAGAAAGGGACGATGTTGGGGAAATGAAGAGGGGGGTTCCTGCATCTGCAGAATCACATGTTCATTGGTAGAGAGGGGAAGGCAATACTGGGAGCCTGCTTCTTTGGGCTCTAAGTTATGGGCTACTTAATGTCAGGGCTTAGGAGGAGGCATGATTTCAGGAATTGCCTCTTCTGCCTTCCCTTATCCATGGAAGGTTGGGGATGGGAGAGCCACTTAGGGCTAGGCTTGTTTTTGCTTTTTTTTTTTTTTTCTGGTTATTAGAAAGAAAATTCTCAGGCATTTTGAGCTGCTGAATATGATCTCCATTGTGAAATCATCCCTTCCAATGCAACCTGACTTGAGTAAATTTGTCATGATTTTTTTCTCATTCAAAATGAGAGTCTCTACCTAATCGTCCCCATCCCCGATCCTTTGGCATTTCCTGCCAGGCCTGGGAAGAAGACTCATGGAGGGCTTGGTCAGTGTGAGTCGCTTAGAAGGAAACAGAGGGTGAACTAAATAATCTCCCTCAGCCAACCTCCCTCGCTGCCCTGGGGGAAATGCAGGATGGAAAAATCCTTAAAAAGCAACCAGAGATATTTTTCAAATGAGTTTTAATAAGCTGTGTGAGCAGGGGGTGAAAACTTCTGGGAAAGGAGTGTTGATGCAGGGGGAACATTGTGGTTTCAAGGAACTCGGATGTCTCTTGTCTCGGACTGTCAATTCTGAAGAGCAGCAAACACGAAAGCAAAAAGCAGAGTAAGAATTAGGCCACTGGTAGATTTTCTTTTTAAAGAGGTGACTATGTCAAATTAAATATAAAAGAGCTGAGAATGAAGTATGGGTCTCTTTTGTACTAGAGCATGCCTTCCAGGGCAGTGTGGTATCGGAGTGGCTGGAGAGGCTTTGATAGGATTGACAAGTGTCTGGCAAGAGTATGTTGAGAGGTTCAATACCGTGAGATGGTCTGTGGGTCAGGCAGACACCTGGGAATCAATATGTTTGCCAATAAAAGAGAGAGCCTCCATAGTTTCTAACAAATTTCAGTGAAATGAGGTCTATGGTAGAGCGTACAGGCTTAGCGTTGGCAGAGTCTATTGCCAAAGTGATGAGACTCCAGCAAACTCTCTTTACTTCTGAAGACCATCCTGCCCTAGAGCAAGCTGGTCAACAGAGCCATGGCTTTTAATCAGCCAACAAAACATCTTCAGTGAGGGCTGCAGTGTATGCATCACTATGGGGCCTTACAAGACTTTGTGATTAGGTCTTCTGTCAGAGTAGTGGGGTTATAATTGCTGGTCACTTGAAGCCTGTGGAGGGCTGGTGGGGACTGAGATGGAGGAGGCAGTGGGGAGGAAGGAGAGAGGAGAGGAAGCGTGAGTGTGTGTGTGTGTGATGGGGAGGGGTATGTCTGTGTGCAGCAGACCCAGGGGTGCCCACCCCAGGTAGGGAGAGAGCACGGTTTTCATAATCAAGGAAGGCTTCACAGAGGTATCAGAAAGCAAAAAGCAGAGTAAGAATTAGGCCACTGGTAGATTTTCTTTTTAAAGAGGTGACTATGTCAAATTAAATATAAAAGAGCTGAGAATGAAGTATGGGTCTCTTTTGTACTAGAGCATGCCTTCCAGGGCAGTGTGGTATCGGAGTGGCTGGAGAGGCTTTGATAGGATTGACAAGTGTCTGGCAAGAGTATGTTGAGAGGTTCAATACCGTGAGATGGTCTGTGGGTCAGGCAGACACCTGGGAATCAATATGTTTGCCAATAAAAGAGATAGCCTCCATAGTTTCTAACAAATTTCAGTGAAATGAGGTCTATGGTAGAGCGTACAGGCTTAGCGTTGGCAGAGTCTGTTGCCAAAGTGATGAGACTCCAGCAAACTCTCTTTACTTCTGAAGACCATCCTGCCCTAGAGCAAGCTGGTCAACAGAGCCATGGCTTTTAATCAGCCAACAAAACATCTTCAGTGAGGGCTGCAGTGTATGCATCACTATGGGGCCTTACAAGACTTTGTGATTAGGTCTTCTGTCAGAGTAGTGGGGTTATAATTGCTGGTCACTTGAAGCCTGTGGAGGGCTGGTGGGGACTGAGATGGAGGAGGCAGTGGGGAGGAAGGAGAGAGGAGAGGAAGCGTGAGTGTGTGTGTGTGTGATGGGGAGGGGTATGTCTGTGTGCAGCAGACCCAGGGGTGCCCACCCCAGGTAGGGAGAGAGCACGGTTTTCATAATCAAGGAAGGCTTCACAGAGGTATCATAACAGGATGCATTCTGCATGATGAAAGGAAAGGCTGTAGAGTTCCTTATGGTTCATGTACCCCCTGGGGCAGAGAGATACCTGTGTGTGTATGTGTGAACGTGAAGTAATGTACGGGTAATCCAAGATGCTGCTACCTCAGGCAACTTCCTTCTTCCAAGGAAACTTTGCGTTTAAATGGGACAGTCACTTTTGCCTTCATTTCATTTAGCTCAGCTATCCTACACATTTGTGATTACATCTCTGTGAGATAAGTAAGGTCACTTCCTTCTATGGGTGAGAAAACTGAGACCCAGAGAAGTCATGCAAGTCTGTATCGGAACCCAGCTTGGCATCAAGGTGCCCTGTTGACCCTTGTTGTTCACCTACTGTTACTCTGTCTCCAACACCTCCCTCCTATCCAAGTTCCCTGCATCACATATCCTCATCTCCGAACCCCCTCCCCAGTCCCCATGTGCTGTCACACACATCAGAAAGGGTCTCAAGAGTGACAGCTCTGTTTTACCTAGATTTAGTGAGATTGGAATAAAAAAAAAAATGCCCCTTAAGCTGGTGAGAGTAGCTCAATCTTGCAGCCTGTTTCTGGAAACGTTTCTGTTTTCTGAAACTGTGAGAGAAGAGAGAGGAGGAATGGGGCATGGGTGCAGGGAACATATACAAAATGGGCTGGAGCAGGATGCAGCCCTCACACCTGCCCATTCAGTCACTATTTATTGAGCATCTACTAGGTACCCTGTGTATCATGCTGTGGCCATCATGGGGCACCTTGCCACCTGCCCAGAGATTTAGTAGTAAATTCATTGCTTTGTTCTCCTCCAAAAACCATTGGCCTTGGCCTTTAAAAATAATAGTAAGGAATTTCCCTGGCGGTCCAGAAGACTCCATGCTTCCACTTCAGGGTGCTCAGGTTCAATCCCTGGTCAGGGAACTAACATGCTACATACTGTGTGGTGTCACCAAATAATAATAATAATAATTATTATTATTTATGACAAAGAATATTTGTTAATTGTACAAATTGTGATAAATTTATAGAAGAACCGGAAGAATTGTTCTAACGACTACTAACATTTTGGTGTATATATTTCCAGTTTAAAATTACATATCTGTCTATACATATATTTTTTAAATTGGTATCATATTTTCAACTGTCTCACCAAATGGTATTTTGAAGTTATTTCTGTTGTCACAAAATATTCTTTAACCAAATGATTTCTAAAGTTCACAGTATCCGAGGGCATCCCATAGAGAAATCCTGAATTTGGGGGCTTGCAGGTCACCAGTAAATGCTTGGCTTCCCGTGGAGCTGATGTTAGTGGTAAGTGAACCAGAAAGCATTGCCCAGCGATGCCCAAAGAGAGCATTCACCTCCATGCAGCAGAACGGCCTCCTTCTGTTTATATTTCTCTCTTTCTGTAACATAAATTGAGTACAACTTGCAGAACCTCTGACATTGGCATCTTGTAGAATGAGATTTAAATTCCTTTGACATCATATACATGTATATGTTTGTTTAGTAGATGTTTTTTTCACTAGTGTGGAGTATGTTTACCCACCTCCTACATGATTTGCTTATTCTGCCAAGCTGTAGTTTCTGACTTAGATTTTGTGGACGTGCCTGAGGAGTTTCTGTGTGTGTGTGTATGTGCATTCACACACGCACACACACATCTGAACACACAGACCCTGGGTGTGCTGTGAAGAGAGGGCCTACGTATTCCTCCTCCTATCCACCCAGAGAAGTCGTACCTTCAGCTGCTTCTCATGTTGGTGTTCCAAGATACCATTTGAAGAAAGTATTATACTTTGGGGGGGAAAAAAGTGTAAAGCCACTGTAACTTCTGCTGACAGTTTGGAGTAAGTCTTGATGATTCTTACCTATCTATGTAGAATCAGATATATATACACAGATATCATTTCTTGAAGATTTCCATTATATATGTCCTTACGTTATTAAAATGGGCACCTTCCCGGAACTTAGGCAGAGATAGAATTTTGGAAGCAGATTCAAAACTTATTGTACATTTCTTTTATTCTCTGTGAGTGCTGTCTCTAGTTTGGTTGAATCATTAATAGAAACCACTTTGGCTCACTGAGGAAGGTTTTCCACCATAGAAAGAGAAAGATAGAGGGAATGTAGCTGGGTTATCACATTACTCCAGTGACAAGCAAGTTGACCATGAAACCCTGCTCTGTACTAGAACCTTATTGGGTGCCATTGGGAGATAACAGGAACTAGGACCCTTACGTTCAAGGACAGATGATATAATAGATATAAGCAGTAACTTAGAATAGAGGCAGTATGTGATAAAAAGGAAGGAAAAACTTACTGAGTACCTGTTAAGTGCAAGGCTTGTGCGAGAACTAACTTCTTTAATTTTACCCAAGTCTCATGGAGTATAGGTATTGTCCTGTCTCTGGGGAGGGGAAGAAGCTGAGACTAGGGGAGCTTTGGCCAGGGTCATAGTTTAGTGATGGAGCTGGAATTCAGACCAACCATCCCCACCCTTGCCTCCTATGGGAGAGAAGGACTACTATGGATGAGGAGTGTGATCTGTGAGGAGTTAGCAGGAATTACTTCAGGGAACTTGAGAAGCAGGACACAGCAAGTTTGAGGGAGGGAGGAGTTTGACCCCAAATTTAGGGAGAGTGATGATGTGTTATGTTGGAAAAATGGGCTCACTTTGGGAGGATATGAGAAAGACCACTTCATAAGGAGAGTTTGGCTAAGCTCTGGAGTTCTTAAAGTGTGAAACAAGGAGCTTGAACTTATCCTGAAAGTAAAGGATTCCTTGAAGGTTTTATAGGCAGTGATGACTTGAAGCAAAGCGGGGCAGCTCTGTGTGGTTTGGATTAAAGGGGAAAATAAAAAGCTGATCTACCTGTGTGGAGGTTGCTTCAACAACCCGCAAGTCAGGAGGTGGAGGAGAACTTCTGAAGGAAGAGTTGCTGTAGGCTGTTCAGTTTCCTCTCTGCATCCAGGAAGGTGGGCCTGCTTGAGAAGGAAGTGGAGCACTGCATTTAATCCTCTGGAAAATATCAATTGTACAACCCCAGGCTGGTTAGCAACAAGAACTTAGGTTGCAGCCAGTTGGGTTAAGTGACCTATCCACTTCTAAGGTGTCATTTGCCCACAGTTCAATGGGTTCATAATGTTTGAATTTAAATTAAAAGTTTCAGCTTGAAATCTAAAACCAGAGGTATAATTTATCTAACCTGTTCACCAAACAAAGCTAGTTTCCTTATTGGTTGATGTAAGACCTCCCATATCCCCTCATCTATTGTATTTCAGAATTTATTATTTTTGTTTTTGTGTGTGTGCCTATTTTTAGATCCAAGTTGAATTTTGATAGTGGACTGTTGTTTTCTACGTGGGGCATTTTGTGGAGAAGCTTCTACCCAGTCTATTTGAGATTACTCAGCTTAAGCAATGGGCTTTCTTTATATATATAATTTTTATTTATTTTTGCTGTGCTGGGTCTTTGTTGCTGCTTGGGCTTTCTGTAATTGCAGGAGCAACTTGCTCGTGTTACACGGGCTTCTCATTGTGGTGGCTGTCTTTCTCTGCAGCACAGGATCCAGGTGTGTGAGCTTCAACAGTTATGGCATGTGGGCTCAGTAGTTATAGCTCCTGGGCTATAGAGCACGGGCTCAATAGTGGTGATGCACAGGCTTACCTGCTCTGTGCCATGTGGGATCTTCCCGGATCAGGGATCAAACCCTTATCTCCTGCATTGGCAGGCAGATTCTTTACCACTGTCCACCAGGGAAGCCCAGCAATAGCATTTTCTCATTTAACCTAAACTTTTTCTTCCAGTGGTCTCAGGTACTTCAGATAACCCTGCTGGCCCTTGATTCTTTGACTTTCAAGGTTTCACCAGTGGGTGGCTATGTCCCATTTGGCTATTTGTGTTCATATGTGCCCTCTTCATTGGTAAGGAACATGGGTTCCGGGAAAGAGGGCTTTGTGAGGAAAGACGCTCTGGTTCTAGCTCTGACTCCTGCCGCTGATACTTGATTGAGATGTTTCTCTGGGCATTGATTTCCTCACTCATAATAAAAGATTGGGAAAGTATACAAAGAGAGGAGATGACATTATCTTCAGTACAAGATTCCTAAATCTGATTCTAAAGATCTGTGAAAACTCAACTCATTGGGAACCATATCATTACAAACTAACTTGTTGATACATGAGCAAGAAAAGAACAACAATAAAATCAAATGAAAAGTGCTCTATTTAGTGTTCATTTTTCATAGTTTAATTCGGTAAATGATCCTACCTTGATCAATGCCTTTACGTTCACAAGACTATTGTTTTACATCATGGTTCCAAATTCAAACCTGCTTTCTATGCCTAACGGTCCCACATCAGGAGATCTACCATGAGGTGTTACAATTGTCTTATAAAAGCACAGCACAGTTTCTAGCACACAGCAGGCAGGATAAATTTTAGCCTCTGTCTTATCCACTTCTGTCTTGTTCAGTTAACAGTTTCAATATGCTTTATATAGGTAAGTCCTCCACCCCCAAGCTGGACTGAGCTTTGCCACATTTCTATTATCCTATTAGTCACTCAGTCATGTCCAACTCTTGTGACCCCATAGACAGTAACCCATCAGGTTCTCCCGACAAGTTAGCCTATAGGGATGACCTTTTCTGACCAGCTGGCTAAATGTTCACAAAACAGAGCTGAGAAACCATGGTTGTTAGATTTGAACCCCCTTATGAACCTAGCTTCATAAGGAGAAAATATACATTACCTGTCCCCTAAGCTGAGTCCAGATGTCCTTAACTACAGCTAGGGCCCAGTCTCTTAACCTGTCTAGTCATGTCACATGTGTTTCAGGAGGGCAACAAGCAAAAGAGTACCAAGAGCCATCTCTTCTCCCAAATGTCTGTGCCCAGCTAGAGGATGAATGCTTTGTTATATCATTTTTATTTCTCAGTTATAAAAGCTAGTCAGTCTAGAAGTGTGACTACTTAACATGAAGAACACATCTGCGATTGTTTGTCCCTAGAAGTTGGGTAGCGTGTCCTTCTGACTGTCTCACCTGTGGCTTGAGCTTCGGTGGTGCAAGTGGGCCACCTTGACATTAGCTTCCATGCGGTTTCTCTGAGTGCTTTTATTTATCCAAGAGTCCAGTGGGTTCTCGCTGGACCTTTTGTCTCCTTCTTGCCACTGGGAGAGGGAGGGAGATGTATGTCACATATTAGGGCTGACTCCCCAATATGAAAAGAAAAGTTCCTGGATCCAGTAAAGAACATCTTAGAACTGCTCCCTTGGTGGTTTCACTTTGGAGGCTGCCATCCTAATTCAAGAAATGAGAGAGAGAGATAGGTCGTCCTTGGATCAATAATAACATCACCTTCCATTTCAGGGTCATCCTTGGATCAATAATAACAAAAAGAACAACAATTTATATTATTGTTGCTGTTGTTTAGTAGTACCTGTTAAATGCCAGGTTTAATGTCAAGCATTTTACATGTATTAACTTGTTTAATCTTCACATCAACCTTCTAGGTGGGAGGTCCTAGAGAGGTCCCAAAGAGAGGTCACATAGCTGGAAGTGGCAGACCCAGGCCGTTGGCTTCCAGAAACTTCATTTTGTCCTAGTTCCCAGGGGATATTAGGTTCCTGAGGATTAATGAACACAAACCCAAATCTCAAGAGACCAAGGTGTGAAAAAAACAGCAGTTGGTTATCTTATAGTGAAGTGATCAGACTGTTTATGTCTATTACCCAGAGTGTCTGGAATAACTCTTCCTGGGCGAGGTATTATTTTAGGCAATCCAAATTGTATTCAGAAAATAAGAGGAGGAAAAACAGGCCCTCTTCTTCCTATTACGAGGACTCTTTTCTTTCCGAGGCAATTGAAAGTTGAACCATCCACTTTTTGACTCCATCAGAGCTTTTTATTTTACCATGACAATTCAAAGAGAATGCCAGGAGGGATCATAGACAAAAAGAATTCTCTCAGTTGACCCCTGTAGTGTGGCAGAAGGTACAAATTAACTCCTTTGTTGGGTCAATAGGATATTCACTTGGAATTCATCAGCAGTACGTAATCCATTTTGTCTGGAACACTTGTATGCAGGTTGCTAGGGAACTAAGCTCTTTACCCAGCCCTGGCTCTTAGAGCTGAAGCCTTCTGGCTCTACAGGTAGGTGTGGCCAGACCCACTGAGAGTGCATTGGGTGGTGATGGGGACTATGGCCTCATCCTGCAAAAGGCACAGCATAGTAACAGTCTGAGGATGAAAGTGGTTGAAGAAGCTGACGTCTTTGTTCTCTGTGTTTCTTCCACCATTTATCCAACCGCCACCGGTTTTGTTTTTCCAGTAATAACTTAAATTCAACCTCTTTTTTTTTTTAGGGAGATGTATGTCACATATTAGGGCTGACTCCCCAATATGAAAAGAAAAGTTCCTGGATCCAGTAAAGAACATCTTAGAACTGCTCCCTTGGTGGTTTCACTTTGGAGGCTGCCATCCTAATTCAAGAAATGAGAGAGAGAGATAGGTCGTCCTTGGATCAATAATAACATCACCTTCCATTTCAGGGTCATCCTTGGATCAATAATAACAAAAAGAACAACAATTTATATTATTGTTGCTGTTGTTTAGTAGTACCTGTTAAATGCCAGGTTTAATGTCAAGCATTTTACATGTATTAACTTGTTTAATCTTCACATCAACCTTCTAGGTGGGAGGTCCTAGAGAGGTCCCAAAGAGAGGTCACATAGCTGGAAGTGGCAGACCCAGGCCGTTGGCTTCCAGAAACTTCATTTTGTCCTAGTTCCCAGGGGATATTAGGTTCCTGAGGATTAATGAACACAAACCCAAATCTCAAGAGACCAAGGTGTGAAAAAAACAGCAGTTGGTTATCTTATAGTGAAGTGATCAGACTGTTTATGTCTATTACCCAGGGTGTCTGGAATAACTCTTCCTGGGCGAGGTATTATTTTAGGCAATCCAAATTGTATTCAGAAAATAAGAGGAGGAAAAACAGGCCCTCTTCTTCCTATTACGAGGACTCTTTTCTTTCCGAGGCAATTGAAAGTTGAACCATCCACTTTTTGACTCCATCAGAGCTTTTTATTTTACCATGACAATTCAAAGAGAATGCCAGGAGGGATCATAGACAAAAAGAATTCTCTCAGTTGACCCCTGTAGTGTGGCAGAAGGTACAAATTAACTCCTTTGTTGGGTCAATAGGATATTCACTTGGAATTCATCAGCAGTACGTAATCCATTTTGTCTGGAACACTTGTATGCAGGTTGCTAGGGAACTAAGCTCTTTACCCAGCCCTGGCTCTTAGAGCTGAAGCCTTCTGGCTCTACAGGTAGGTGTGGCCAGACCCACTGAGAGTGCATTGGGTGGTGATGGGGACTATGGCCTCATCCTGCAAAAGGCACAGCATAGTAACAGTCTGAGGATGAAAGTGGTTGAAGAAGCTGACGTCTTTGTTCTCTGTGTTTCTTCCACCATTTATCCAACCGCCACCGGTTTTGTTTTTCCAGTAATAACTTAAATTCAACCTCTTTTTTTTTTTTAATTCAACCTTCTTTATCAAGCACTAATTTATGAAGGCTTTATGGATGTACCAACATTAACACTAAAACCACACAAATGCGACCAAATGGAACACATTGCCATCCATTTTGAAATATTCCCATGCTCTCATTCACCTGGAGTTTTGTACTTTGCATGGAGTTGACTGGAGATATGGGAAATATTTCTTGGTGTGTATAAATTGAAAGGGAATGTAACAAAGAAGTACAAGTAGGTTCACTTGAAGAAAACTTGAAAATAAAATATGGCTTAAAAAAGTAATCATTATAAATGCAGGTATGATTTGTTCGTCTTGCAAAGCCAACTACTTTTATAAAATGTTTTTGAAAGAATTCACTAGGAAAAAACTTTGGGTTGGCAAGACACATTTGGTTTGCTGGGTGGAGTGGCTGAGGAGTAGAGGTATTGGGCAGAGTCACTGAGACCTGAGGTGTTGAAAATGGTCACACAGGAGGAGCAGTACAGGCAGAGGAAGACACAGGGAACTATCCCATCAGCCAGGGAACAAGTATCCTGCTTTAGTAAACAGCAGACAGTCAGTATTTCCCCACTACCTGGTATGTCTTTTGCTTCTTACTGGGTGCACCAGTGATGGAAAAAGAAAAAAGACACAGCCTTTATCCCAAGAATGTCTTGTCTATCTAGGAAGGTAAGATGAGCACAGATGAGCCAGAAAAAAAAAAAAAAAGAAATATTCTGTGTAAAATTGAGTGATGCAGAAATTAGCTTAGAATGTCAGAGGAAGAAGTTCTGTGAGTGGGCTGGAGGAGTGCACATACTCCTACAAGTGGGAGGGACACTCACATATGAAGGATTTTGTCACAGAAGTAAGAACCCTGGATCCCATCTATCTTTGAGGAGCACAGTGCTGACAGCCTATTAGCACATGTGGGATTGGCTCCGTTGGTCTCATTATTGTGTGACAAGGAGCAAGACCTGTCTAAGGCAGTTCTGCTTGTTTACTTAGTTGGATTTTTCCCTCTAGTTGCCTGTCCCATTGCTGATCTCTGCAACTTTAAACCACATTACACTCTGGAGGGACGGGAGGGGGATGGGGCCAGCCCATCACCGTGGGAACTGAAGAGAGCCCAGTGTCCTCGGCACTGGGCAAACACAGGAAGTCAGCATCTCGTGGATGCCACGGGCAGAAACAAACAGGGTTCTCCAGAAACTTAGAATGATAGATGGATGCTTCCAGCTCAAAACCATGTGATTCCTGTGCATCCACATCCACTGAAGAGCTTCTCTTTAGCTCTTTGAGCTGCTCCTTAATTCCTGGATCTCATAGACATTAAGTTCAACCCCAAATGCATACATTCAGATGCTCCTTCCTCATCTGTAGGAAGTGGCCCTAATACTTTGTAGGATTATGAGTAAAAATCCCATTTGATCCAAATAGACATTTTTGTGGAAGGAAAAAGTATTAAGTTGGAGGGCTTTGTCAAAATCTACACAAGTTGTTCAAAGGTTAAGTTAATGATCTGAAACTTAAAATCCCAATTCCATAAAAAAGAACATTTAGACTTCATAGGTAAGGAAAGACAAGAGAAGAGTGTGAGCAGTTGGACAGAAATGGAAGAAACATAGAAAACTGCAAAAAATATGAAGTATATGGCGCTTAAGGGAAAATACCTCCTTTTGGAGGATGGTTATCATTTGGAAGGTTTGAATGCATTTCTTCCATCTTTAAATCTACCAAAAATGTCACTCTGATGTGTGGAAATAATATTTGAATACAAAAGGTGAGGGACTGGCCACAGCTTACTGAACTGTGGCAGACAGTTCACATCCAAGGGGACAGAATGAATCAGTTCAGTTGCTGTCATGATACTTTAGGGAGACTAAAGGGATGTCTTTTAAAAGAAAGGGCACTTTTACAAACTAAGATATCAACTAGAAGAGCTGGTGATGACAAAGAAGGAAACACAGATCAAAGATGAAGTCAGTCCCAGAAAGTGCTATGCAGCATAACTGCATTTATATAAAGTCCCCAAATAGGAAACATTAAACAATGTATTGTTTAGAGATAAGCGTAGAGTGATGAAACTATAAAGAAAAACAGTTTAAGGCAATAATTACCAGGACGGTCTACCTGGTGATTACTCCTGGTGGGAAGTGGAGGAGGGGATGCAATCAGAGAGGGTTAAAACAGCTTCTGAAGACCAGCAACCACCTCCTATCCCTGATGGCTGAGCAGGTAAAGAATCTGCCTGCAATACAGGAGACATAGGTTCGATCCCTGGGTGGGGAAGATCCCCTGGAGAAGGAAATGGCAATGCACTCCAGCTTTCTTGCCTGAGAAATCCCATGGACAGAGGAGCCTGGCAGGCTACAGTCCATGAGGTCCCAAAGATTTGGACATGACTGAGCACACACGCATACACACATCATGACTAAAAGTTTGTTTTGATTATTCTTTGAACTATATATTTTATATATTCTTCTGTAGGTATATAATAAAAGGGAAGAGAGGAGAACAAGATCATGAAAAAGATCTTAACTGCTATAGATATTAGCATTTTAAATGATATTGCCTCAAAAAAAATTCTTGCTGTAGTAAAAAATGAGCTTGAGGACAGTGTCTACATAGCATTATTTTGCCACCAAAGTCTCATTTTTCCTGTTGTCTTTGGCAGTGAGGTCTGTCTCAAGGATAGGAAGTGTAGCCACTAGGCCCATGGTCTGTTTAACTCAAAGGATAAAGCATAGACCCTATCTGCTTCCCAAGACCAAGGCCAAGAGGGGGCTGAAGTCTCGAGGTTATCCTCAGAAACACTGGCCCATCTTCAACCCAGGCTAGGACTTCCTCCCCTTCACAGAATGGGAATTCTTAGGGAGTAACCCAACCCAGCCTCACCTTTTCAGCGCGCAGCTCTGCTTAGGGGAGAAATCTCTCCTAGTCTCCACTACTTTGGTGTTTTTCAACATTCTGAAATCTTGTTTTATAGCCAAGAAGATGTCGTCAAACATTTCATTGGTAAGTTATGAAAACCATAGAAATCTTTATTTTCTCTCTACAAAGTTATATTATAAATGAACTGCTTTTCAGTTATATGAATCATACATGTTCTCTCCAGATCCTGACATATGCTCTGTGGGGGACATGCCCCTTCCCATGCCTCCTTCCCCCATACCCTCCACCGATGGAAAATAGCTTTCCTTGCTGCCGTCACCAGCATCGAAGATTTATAGAATGTTTTCTGTAAGCCCAAAATAATAGCAGCTGACATTTTTACAGTATTTACTATGTACCATTTTTAAAGCTCTTGTCATATTTTGATTAATATAATCCTCACAAGGGCCTTATAAGGTAGATGTATCCTGAGACACAGAGAGGTAAAATACCTTCTCCAAAAATCACACAGCTGATAAATAACTGAACTGGGATCTGGACCCAAGCAGTGTCCACCCTGTTGTCCTAGGGCTTACCATGCTGTGCTGCCTCAGATAACACGTTAACCACTTTCAGGTGTGACTGACTGACCACATTTCTTGCAGTTTTATCATCCCCCCCCCCCCCATTTTATGGATAGGCATACTGAGGTTTGGAATTTAATTTCACAAAAGGTTGGTGATGGGACCAGTGAAGAGCTTTTTTATTCACTGTCCCCACACCCACTCCTTCACCTGCACCCCTCACACCAACCCCCACCAATCTCCCTGTGAAATGGAAAGTCTTCCCTCTTCTCCAGTCCCAGGGTGCGTGGCCGCTGCAGCAGGAGAAAAGAGTAGATCCTGGAGTGAGAGCATGAGCAAGCTAGTTCATGTGTTGCTAATTGCTTAAACATCATGGAGTTTGTCTTATTATGGTTTTTTTTTTTTGTTTGTATGTGGGAAAGCTTTTTATACAATGCTGGCTGACTCCCGAGCCTTAAAGTAAACAACTACATCATCCTGTGCAGAGAGAGTCAGGAAAAAGGAAACTGTAAGAAAATATCAAACTCCTCCAGCTCGCCGTCTTTTTAAAAAAATGTAAGTGAAGGAAATAATGTTTAGGGGGATTTACTGGGGTCCTTGTAACAGAAGGCTCTGATTAACGGCCCCCTTCCCAAACTACATATTTGAGTAAATGCTTCCCATACCATGCTTTTTCCCTCAATGCCCTTGCTGTGATGTAAGGAAGACAGTCCACCCAGAAACCATGGCTAAAAGACTCTATAAACCCATTAGAAAGTTCAACTACCTCCCATCAGGGAGTGCTGAAAAGTCCTCACTTGTAAAGCTGCTGGGTGGCTAAGTGGGTTGATGGAACTGACAGCTCATTGTGGTCCTTGAATCCTGGGGATGGAACATGTATGTTTACCTGTCTCCATCATCTAAGAACATGGACAATGTGCTTGCCACTGAGATTACAGCACTCGAGAACCTTCCAGATAAGGATACAGTCAGAGGCACAGCAGACCCAAAGAGAAAATACCGGTGCTGTAGCCATAAACCTCCTTGTCATTGGCTGAATCCTTTAAACCCACACTGGGCCTCTCTGAAGGGTCTTCCTGGTTGCCTAATCTGACTTTAGCTTTTCATGTCACCCCAGAATCGCTCAGGGCAGTGATATGTTACAGTGAGGGTTACTAGAAGGGCAGAAGATATGGTTACCCAAATCACCCATGGGCTTTTCTGACCATGTGTCCATGCCAAAGGTTGTGAAGTGCTGTCCCTTCTCTTCCATCACTGTTACTCCTCAAAAGTGGTTGCATCTTTCAGAGGTGATTGGGGAATGTAGAAGATCTAAAGCTGCTGCCTTTAGGATTGCCAGAATGAATGTCTCCTAGGGTTGCTGCTATAGTAACACTTTTCTGTAGCACACTGTAATTATGTCCCAGCAAAAAGGAATTACCCACTTAAATGAATTTGCCCCTTTTCACCTCCCAGTTCACCCCTGGTTTCTACTGGTCCTGCATGATGTGGGATAGTCCCTGTCTTCCTGCTCTCCAAACCCTAGGATCCCTGCTGTCTTTGTCATCCATAAATGAAGTAAGTTTCTTTTCTCTGAGAGTAGCAGTTTTCATTTTGTGTTTCCTCTTATGCTAGGCAGGAACTTCCCTGGGGTGTGTATCTTGCACTTGTCCTCGCTTTTATTACCTGTAGAGCATCCTGTTGTTGTACAGCTTTTCTTGTGATGTAGCAAGCTCCGTGTGTGTAGGAATGGACATTTTGGCAGACTTGCCATAAGCACTATTTTGAGTAGTAACAGAAACAACAGATTTTAATGGGGTAGCCGTTCTGATTTTTATTAGAAATGGACCGCTCCTGGAAGGAATTTTACAAACACAAGGAAAGCGCTTCCCCACTTTGCCACCCTCTTCTGGGACTTTGGGCACTGCCAGTGGCCTGTAGAATAAAATCTCCTCTGTTGGATCCCAGTCAGCTCCTCAGTTTCACTGCCCACTTTCTGGATGCTGCTGGGCAGATCCCTGCCTTCCACCTGTGCCCCTAGCTTGGGGTGGCAAAGCCCCACCTCTCTGGTTAACCAGATCTCCAGCTGCTGCTCTCACATCCCATGTCCTCTGTGAATCCTTCGGTTCATTCAAATCCCTTTAGTGTTTATTAATGACTCTTCTCACTTGGCACCCAGAATATACAGTGTGACTAGCTCTTAGATTTGTATGCACAAATAACTAACCTCTCCAAGCCAATTATAAATATCTGAAGGCCAACACAAAGGCTTTTCTACCTGTCTGTGCCCATTCACACGTGTGTGTGTGCATGCGTGTGCACGCATGCATATGTATGTATAGGAGAAGCCCACTTAGGGAGAGTAAGTGCTCAGTAAAGGCATGCTGTGGCAAGAATGGTAGTGACAGCTAGTGTGATTAAGCTCAGCAAGAATCATTTGGGGAATTAAAATCAGCTGATTTAACAGTGTCTTGCAGCTAATCTGTCATTCTCCCCCTTTCAGCATATGGCTGTAGAATCCTGAATAGGATTCTGTTATATTCCAATCACATTGCTCCTCACAGCTCCTACTAATTGACTGCAATTAGCATGGGAGAGAATCCAAACTTTTTTGTTTTTTTAACCACCTCTCACCTTAGACACACTCATCTCTCAGCCTATTAGAGACAGGGCATCTCATTTTCAACAACCATTTAGTTTTCAGAGACCTATTATTTTGTCTGATTTTTTAAAAACTTACACCAGATATTGAGAAAGCTCACAAATCTTGGTTTCTTCCTCCACAAAGCAGAAGTACCTCCACATCCTTGGGTTCCACATCCATGGATTCAGCCAACCACAGATGGAAAATATTTGGAAAAAAATTTCCAAAAAGGAAACCTTGAATTTGCTATGCTCATGACGATTTACATAGCATTTACATTGTCTTAGGTATCATAAGTAATCTAGAGATGATTTAAAAAATGCAGGACTGGGACTTCCCTGAAGGTCAAATGGTTAAGAACCACCTTTCAATGCTGGGGAGCCGGGTTAGATCCCTGCTTAGGAAACTAAGATCCCACATGCTTCAGTTCAGTTCAGTTCAGTCGCTCAGTCGTGTCCGACTGTTTGTGACCCCATGAATCGCAGCACGCCAGGCCTCCCTGTCCATCACCAACTCCCAGAGTTTACTCAAACTCATGCCCATCGAGTCGGTGATGCCATCCAGTCATCTCATCCCCTGTCGTCCCCTTCTCCTCCTGCCCCCAATCCCTCCCAGCATCAGGGTCTTTTCCAACGAGTCAACTCTTCGCATGAGGTGGCCAAAGTATTGGAGTTTCAGCTTCAGCATCAGTCCTTCCAATGAACACCCAGGACTGATCTCCTTTAGGATGGACTGGTTGGACATGCTTAGGAGCAACTAAGCCTGCACATCACAGCTGCTAAGATTGCTCACTCTGGAGCCTTTGTGCCACAACCAGAGTCCTTGCACCACAGCGAAAAATCCCAATGACGCAGCAAAGATCCTGTGTGCCACAACTAAGACCAGACGCAGCCAAGTAAATAAATATTTTAAAAATGCAGGAGTTTCTGTGTAGGTCAGATGTAAATACTTAACCGTTTCATACAAGGGACTTGAGCACCGGCAGGTTTTGGTATCTATGCGGTCCCAGAAGCAATCCCGTTTGGATGCCGAGGGACAGCTGTGGTAGTGCTCCCCTCCAAGGGCTGCCGGGAGAGCTTAGAGGTAGCATGCATGCCTCTAGCACAGTGCCTGGCAGGGAGCACATACGCAATCTCACATTGCCTCCTGGGGCCCTTTGTGCGTCATCGCCTCACTTTATCTTCACAGAACCTGCTAGATAGGCTGGGTGCTGGTGTATTTTCCTTTGATAGATGAGGAAACAGGCACAGGTCAGTGAGAGAAATTGCCTGGAGCCTGTGATTCATGAAGAGCCAGGACTGGATCTAAGGGCTCACCCGGCCCGCTTCACTCCAGTGCTCCTCCCCCTGGCAACGTTCCTTGTGGGGGTGGCAGGAGAGAGGACCGCCTTTGACTGTGGAAGGAACCCTCACCCTTGGCTTGTGCTGAGGAAACTACCATTTGTCTCTAAAAGTGAGCCTGAGTGTGTCTGGGGGACTCACCCTTGTTATGGTCGGGCCACCTCCTTATCCCCAGCCTTCCTGAACCTTCGTCTGCTTGTGGCCAGCAGTAGGATTCATTAAAGGTTAAAATATTGTGTATTTGTCTTGCATCCCAGTTATTCTGGAAAGTTCCAGATGACTTGGGAGATTTTATAGGCTCCGCTGGAAAACACCCAGACAGTGATGGGCGTTGATGCTCAGATGCCGAATGGCTAAGCAAGGGGTGATTTCTGAAAAAGCCCTGTAACCCTAGAAACTCCTAATCAGGAGGCTAAGAGAAAAGGATGTAGCGTTTTAATCCTCTCTATAGTCTCCTCATTAAGTGACTCTCATTAGTCATGGGTAAAATTTCTCTCCCAAGGTGTGTGCTTCTTGTGATATTAATGAAATTTCAGGTTTCCTAGCTCAGGCTTTCACAGCTGTGGCCTGCCAGTGCTTTCAGCGGTGAGAAAGAAACCCTTTGCCAAGAATTCATCATGTAATGAAAACAGCAATGTATGGAAAATGAAGCGGTTATCATCAGTGCTGCTGCTAAAGCTCACAGTTTCATTTACAGAACTGGAGCCATCCAGCCCGAAGAGAAAGGCCCATTCTTGTCTGCAGGCAGCATGAAGGGTATAGAAGCAAGGGTCAGATGGACTCCACTCACGGTGTGATGTAGTGGTCCACATGTAGTATTTACAGAGATCAGTCATTTCTGGGAAGATTATAGAGGAGAAAAGGTGAACCAGACATTACTTATGGACTTAGGCAGTTTACTTTTAGCAAAAGGAATGACAACACATCACCACTTAGGCATTTGGGAGCAAGACAGAGGTCAGGGAGCCGTTGCTCCTCATTACTTTCATTAGGCATGGTGGTGGGAAGTCCCCCCAGAGTGAGAGGTCTCCTTGGTCTCTGCAGCAGAACCCCACGCCCTGTGTTATGAGTGCTGTCAGACATAGGCCTTGCTGTGTGAGTGGATCACCCTTACGGCAGAGGTCTCAATACTAGGGTGTATGCATCTCCCAGGGAACTGGTTAAATGGCAGATGGTAGGGCCCCCTACCTGGGCATCTAGATTACTTGGACCAGCATTTTTTTAATGCAAGGTGGTTGCTGACAGCACTTTAAGAAACACTTCCTGGTAGTGGCATGGCCACCTATTTTTAGAGAACTGGCTTTAAAATTAATCACTAAGTGACTGCCCCAGGCACTATCCTAGGCCTGTTGGGATTTGCAGAAGATTCATACCCTGTGAGCCTTATCCTTCAGAAGAGTATATTGGGAATGAAGTGGGCAGAGCAGGACTGGCCAGAATTAGGTGCTGGACCATTGTTGGGGTTCCAAGAGGGCTGGAGAGTCGGGGTCTACTGGGCAGAGCTGATGGGGCTCTGCCAGGCCTGGAGGACTGGAGGATTTGCACTGATGGCTCAGAGCGAAAGAGGGCATTTCTGATGAGTGGCTGCCAGCATGTAGGCAGCCTTGAGCTTGTTACGTTGCCAGCCTAAAAGCCTGTGTCTCCATTTCAAGAAAGTCATAGGCTCAGTGGGCATTGGCCGAGGCTCCCTGAAACCTGGTGTTAGTGAGCCTGGAACAGGCACCAGGTCTGAGCAGCAGCCTAGCCCACCATCAGCAAGTGAGGATTTAGCCCAGACCACGCTGGAAATGACAACACTCTAAGGTTTTTAAGACTTTGCTCAGAAATAGAGGGTATCTTGGGTCACCATAGACTGTGGTCTATGGGAGTTCAGAGCCTCAGTATTTATACCTTGATGTTTGCCTGGAAAGTGTGTTCTAGATTTCAAAGCACTCAATTCTATGTGATCCTGTAGTGGGACTTACAGGACTGTCACATCTTCTAAAGGATAAGAAAACAGGTGGGCTGTTCTTGAAATTCTCACAGAGATATGGGGTGGAATTTAGTCTCTTGTACAGGCCCTGTGACCCCCCACCCCACAGCTGATTTCATCCTGCTGCCCCATTGAGAAAAGTGGCATGAGAGGACCTAAAGCTCTTGGAGGCATTTTTCAGTCTCTGTCTCTTTAAAATATGTGTGTGTGTGTGTGTGTGTGTGTGTGTATAATTTCCTGTCTTATTAGCCTTCAAGATCCATCTAAAATGTCTCTTTCTGCACAAATAGCTGTGTTATCTGGGACACCCCCCAAATCCTGTCCTTCTGAACATAGTCCAATTTCTTCCTCCTTTCACTTATTAAGATTGTTACACTATGGTACTATGTCCCCTCTGCTACTTTATATGGTAATTATGTCTGTGATAGTGTTTCCCATTATGCTAGACTATAAAAACCTTGAGGTAAGGAGTTAGGTAATAGTCATACTTTTTTCTTTTTGCCCCTGCTTTAGCTCTTAGGGTCATGGATAAAATGGATAAAAATATTTGTCTCACATTTATTAGCCCTTTAGTATGAACTTACTGACTGATTTCAGTTTGCCTAATCATAAGATTTCAGTTCAGTTCAGTCACTCAGTTGTGTCCAATTCTTTGCAACCCCATGAACCACAGCACGCCAGGCCTCCCTGTCCATCACCAACTCCCGGAATTTACCCAAATTCATGTCCATTGAGTCGGTGATGCCATCCAACCATCTCATCCTCTGTCATCCCCT